TTGCCCAAATGTGAGAAAAAAGTGCAAGCAGTAGCAGTAGTCGCTTTGACTGCCAGCTGTGTAGTAACACAATGTACCTCCATTACCATTTATCATGCATGGCTTTCACTGCACCTGCAAATGACCCACTAGTATCTATCAGTTCTTGTAAGATCATTCTGAAGAGTATTTCATGTTCTCAATTACAGTACTGAACTGAGATGTTGAAATATATACCTGAACAGAAAGCTTTTATGTATGGTTTATGTGAAATATAAATCATGTAAAGATGGTTTCACCTTAAGTATACTGGCGTTTGAGTTTCAACTTAACAATTCTCAAAGTGGTGAACAAACTGCATTCAACTGGGACTTCCTTAGACAGGAAATACACTAGATAGGATGCTGTGCTAACAAACAAAAAGTATAAAGAAACTGGAGCCAGATCAGAAAAACTACTTTGGAAATCCCTGACATGATTAGCTGAACAGGAAGAGTCTGTGACGATGACAGCATGAAGTGTAACTAAAACAGTATGGCTACTGCAGTATAAAATTAGACAGGTTCAAACAACTGAAGATGATGATTAAACATAATACATTTTTGTAACTGGCTTCATAGTCTGTACATGATGGTGTGCTTCAACCAAAACTTATATTCTTGTCTGGAGAATCTTGAACCCATCTGAATGGTTATATCAATATTCAGAAGAACAGGTATCAGACTAGTATTCATCCAAGGCAGACTTTTGAAGTGCCCTTTCATGGATTCGTGTGTGATGTGCCGCTGCCACTAGATGAAGAGTTGGACCCATTTTTTTAACAGATCATTCATTCAAAGTGCCAAGTCAGTGACATTCTTCAACCTTTTTTGAAGAGTATGATAGAAGAACGACACATGGTTATGTTATGCAAGATGGTGCTACAGCACACACTGCTACCTATTCCATTCATGTTTTAAATGAGGTGTTTGAAGACGGACTGTGGCCTGTAAGACTTAAATCCTTCACTTTTATCTATGGGGAAACCTAAAAAAAAGTGTATTCGAACAATCCCCATACACTGAATGGACTTCAGCATAACATTTGTGAAACAGTTCTACCTATTATAGTCAGTGAAGATTTTTAAAAACAGAAGGGAGACACTTTGAGCATCTATTGTGATGATGAGTTCTTAGCAACAATTTACTTACTTCAAGAAATACATGCCAAGCATCTATAATATGCAGCACATTAGCAGTGACATTAGACTCCATTTTCTAGGCAGATGATGGTTATGAATGTAGCCAACACACCAGCGGTAGGTGTGTTAGCAATTCAGCCATTCAAGGAAAACACTGCTTGTATTTCTTAGTGCCGTTCCGTAACAATTAAAAGAAAGCATGAATATGAACTTACAACACCATCAATGGCCATGTACAACAGTTTGCGGGGTCTCACGATTCTGAAAAGTCGATCGATGCACTCAAAGATTGCTATCATCATCTCATCTTCATTTTTGGGTGCAGGTCTGAAAAACACACAAGTGGTTGATTTACATCTCACTCAACAGCAATTTCCACTCTGTTTGTTTAGTTTCTATGCATGTTCGCATCCTTGTGGAGTACCCATAAAAATCACTCTGGCTCTACATAAGAAACAGTCTTATTTGTAGGTTATTTAATGACACTTTCAGTGGCTAGAAAATATAGAGTGAAACTTATCAGTCTTTATTTGTTTTTTGTTTGTTTGATCATTTATTCTGTATATTAATTCATCAGCCTCACAATGATGATTTATATGTGAACACATTGGTAATGGCCCATGTAACAAAAATACCTCTGCGCAGAAATCAATAACAGGGATTAAGCATAAATGGATGTTACTGTGATACTATAAAATAATATCCAAACTGAAGGGAAGAGGCAAAACAGCTTCCAGTGCAGCTGTTTCTGCTGCACAAGGGTCTACCATTCTAGTACTATCTCTTTTAATTAAAATACATGAACTTCTTCCTTCTCTAAAAACACATTTTATTCTTCCTTGAAGACAATAAACTGGTATCTACTAGGAATACCATGGTCAAAGGTCAAATGTGCTTAGGGGCTGGTTTTCTATTGGATATGATTCAAGTACATTCATAAGACATTCCACAAACATGCAAAATATTTTGGATCTGGGGTTAGCACAGCAATGAAGACTAAGAAGATGATGGTCCTATTCAAACAAAGTATTTTTTACCTAAACTTCTGTTTTATTAACATGTAGGCCTATCTCGTTAGTGCTGTTCAGAGAATGGTAATTTCTGTGTAGGTTATATCACTAGGCTTGGTTGTAAGAAGGTTAAACTCAGAAACAGATAGTTTTTACACCTTATATGCATATATATTTGGTTTGATTTCAATAATGTAAATATTTTAAGATGTTTTAAAATGAGTGTTAAACTCTCACACACTAACTACTACTAATCTCTCAGTGATATGAATTCTTATGCAACAGAACAAGTTGCAGATGGAGCAGCATTCCAATGTGGGGGAACAACAGGGAGCTAACAATTCTTATCACAGCAAACTGTCATATTTTCCAAACTGCATCCAGATATTAGTGGGACACATTCTGAGTATTAAATCTGAAATATTTTGGACTTAAATGAAATAGACAGATTTTAAGCATAACTTTACAGGGAAACAGGGAGTCTTATACTTTCAATGTATGTGTAACCTGTTTCACATTCACCATCAGAAATTCAGTGTTGATAACCTAACTATAATCCCAGATTACTGAATTCTGGCTGGTGTTACTTACTTGTCTTCTGGATGAGTGCAGGGATGAATGATCCCGTTCATATCCAAGTATAAGTTATCAAATTCCACTCCATTGGGATTTGGCTTAGTTGAATCTACAGGTACTTTTACATCGTTTACTTCTTTTGGCTGAAAGTAAAACAAGGCCATAAGCTACATGCACACTACACCCCTCAATAGTCTTATGAGAGCCAATGACTGTTGGCTCATTACTTACTTATTTAATCACGGAGCTGTCAATTCTGCAGCTACTCAAGATTTTCCCAGCTTTTATGGAACCAGAAGGTTCATTACCATGTTCACAAGAGTCCTCCACTGGTCCCCATCCTGAGTCAGATCAATCCAATCCATACCATCCCATCCCTCTAAGATCCATTTTAATATTTCAACCCACCTATGCCTTGGTCTTCCTAGTAGTCTCTTCCCTCCTGACTTTCCCACCAATATCCTATATGCATTCCTCTTCTCCCCCATTTGTGCTACATGCCCTGATCATTCTAATTATACTTGGAGAAGAGTACAAGTTATGAAGCTTCTCATTATGCAGTTTTCTCCAACCTCCTGTCACTTCGTCTCTCTTCGGTCCAAATATTCTCCTCAACATCCTGTTCTCAAACACCTTCAGTCTATGTTCCTCCCTTAATGTCAGAGGCCAAGTTTCACATCCATACAGGCAAAATCATAGTTTTGTATATTCTAATTTTTATGTTTTTGGACAGCAGACGAGAAGACAAAAGGTTCTGGACTGAATGGTAGAAAGCATTACATGAGTTCAATCTCCTCTTAATTTCCTCCTGAATCAGGTTTTGATTTGATATAGTCGTTCCCAAATATTTGAACTGTGCCACATTTTCAAAACAGCTGTTTCTTATCTTTATGTCATGATTTTGCCCTGTATTTTGGTGATGAGACAACAACATATAGTTTCCTCTGTGTTTACTCCTGGACCAATCTCCTTACTTGCATCAATTAAAATTTGGCTCATCCCTTGAGTAAAAGAGAATACCTACACTATTACTATTAATACTGGTATATCTGTCTCCTCAAGTAATATCCAGTTGCAACTGAAATGCCGTTAATGGCCTGAAAACAAGTTACTTTAAAACAGAAGATACTATGTAAGGGTTTCACATTGAGTATAAAGAATTTTTGCATGAAGTAAAATGGGCCACCTCTGTTGTCTAATGGTCAGAGTTCCTGGCTACAGATCCAGATGTCCCAGGTTCGATTCCCGACGATATCAGATTTTCTGAGAAGTAGTGGGTCTGGAACAGGGTCCAATCAGCCTCGTGAGGATAACTGAGGAGTTATTTCAAGGAAACAGCGGCTCCGGTGTAGAAAACCGAAATAAACAGCCATGGGAATTTGTTGCACGGACTACATGACACCCTCTAGCCGCTAAAGCTGGCACTAACTTCGCTGACAAGTGGCGGTCGCTCAGTCGGTATAGTTCACTTGCAGACTAAGACCACATAGTTTTTCTTTTTTGTAAAATGAAGTAGCGGGAAAGCCAGAAGGAAAGAAGCCACAGGGAAGACCAAGGCATAGGTGGGTGGACAATATTAGAATGGATCTTAGAGAGATAGGATAGGATGGGATGGTACGGATTAGATAGATCTGGCTGAGGATAGGGACCAGTGGAGGGCTCTTGTGAACATGGTAATGAACCTTCGGGTTCCATAAAATGCTGGGAAATTCTTGAGTAGCTGTAGAATTGGCGGCTCCTCCAGAAGGGCTCAGCTCCATGAGTAAGTAAGTAAGCAAAATGAAGTAACATATGCATTGAGCTCTTCTGAGAATGTGATTGTTGCAATGCTGTCATTAGCTATTTTATAAAGTCAAATGATAGATAAAAGCATTTGGAAAGAAGAGCACGTGGCCTAATCGAGGTACTAGGCCAGCATTCGCCAGGAAAGACTGGGCAAAACCACGCAAACCTCAGTCATGATAACTGTTGTCCAGGCGGAGATTCAGATCAAGGGTCACCATTACATCAATCCATTTCATATAGGTTTATGATGAAGATAAAGCTCCATACACACACACACACACACACACACACACGCACATACACACACCCCCTCATGCATATGTGCATGCACACACACATAGAACAAGAGAGTGAGTGGTCTGCTTCATGCTTTGGCAAATTCATCCCTGTGGAAAGATCCCCAGGTATCCACTGGATGGGGAGAGGAATATTCACCAAGCTCCTTCTCAGGTTATAACAGAATAATTACAAATCAATTTCCTAATTATACATTCACCTGCCGCAAACAAATTATTTGAAAAATTCTAAAAAAATAATATATATAGCTGCTGCGACTATCACTCATGTCTTAACAATGATGTGATAGGAGTGAAAATGCAGAAAGTGATCAGTAACTTCCCCTGCAAATATACTTCATTTTATTATTTACGGCTTATTTAATGTCACTGTCAGTACTTAAGGCTATAACAGTCAAAAGGTTGGATGATTACAAATGTTGAATTGGAAAGTACTCGTATGTGAAAGGAAGTGGTCATGGCCTAATTTAAGATACTACCACAGTATCTGACCGGAGGGGTTAAGGAATACCATGAAAAACCTCACTCAGCACACCACATCTCAGGTCGAGATATAAACCCAGCACCTTCCAAACATAAAGCAGGAGTGATACCCATTTCACTACAATATCTGATCTGCAATCACATCTTTCTTATCTCTATCAAAAAATTAATCTCTTTCAGTTCACCCATATGATTTCCTCAACATTCCAGTCTTGCTCCTTCTGTTTGTGATACCAAAGCAAACAACAAGTTGCAACATAACAATGTGAAAAAGTATGGTTACATTTGACAGTTTAAACATACAGTATATAAAATAGAAAACCTGACTTTGGTGATGTTTTTTATTGGGCCTAATATGTGGCTGGGGGTACATGGTAGCGTAGTTGGTTGAGACACTATGCTACAAACCGGAATGTCATGGGATTGAATCCCGATTAGGTCATTGGATTTTTTCAATTGACCTAATCCTTCCAGCCACACTATGGCCCTGGGGTTGACTCATCCCCTAACACAAATGAGTACCAAGAATATTCTTGGCATGTTCTTGGGGGTAAAGGGCAGCCAGCGCGTAAGGCTGACAACCTCACCGCCATCTGTGAGCCGATTGTCTAGAAGATGTGGGAACCTCAACATCTCACAACCCTATGGGCCTCCACGGCCTGTTACAGGGATAGCCTTACTTACTTTTACTTTAATATGTGGCTACAGCAACTTTTAAACTGGCAAGGGAAGGTACACAGCACAGCACAGTTTGGTCCAATTTATCATAAACTGGCTAGGAAGAGAGGGGAATTGTTTATCAGTGATTGGCATTCCACTCAAGTAAAGATGATACCCTGACTTTATGGGCTACCAATCTTACTTTCCAACACCATGAACCCTTGATTTACTTCACATATTTCCAGTAGAGATAGTTAACATGGTCAGGTATTGGTAATTACATAAGACGTGAAGTCCAGCATTTAATAACAAATTTGATGGTGGAATAAGGCAGGCAACAACAGTAGTCACAAATACAGGTAGACTGTCTAAAAGCCTGTTACCTATCATTTGACCAATCTAGTGGGATGGACACACCTACTCAAGTCAACCTGAATTGCCTGTTTAGACTTCTTGCATAGCTGACAGACCAACAGGCTATATGCATCACAATTTCTCTCCCATATTGCCCAAGTAAATATCTGATGAGCTACTGTGAGGCAAGCTTATGCCCTTGCTATTGTATTAAACATTCAATGAGATTCATTACTTCTTGCATTGAAAAACCATGTGAGTGTTCACATACAATACTCATGTGACAAGAACGAGAAGTTTCTGGGACAAATTTCACAACATTACTGCTCCAAAAGGAAAACACTACTCATACAATTGTAAATACATTTTCACTAATTGGGTTATTAACGGAAAAAAAGAACCAAAAGAAATGCCAAGTGCTCGCTGAAAAGATGTTGGATGAAGTCATTGGTAGGTATAACAATTCTCCTTGACAATCCCTTAGGTGCCTTGTGCAGGGTTAACAGTTTTAGGTTTCAAATTTCAAGATAGTTCTATTTACAAAATAGAACTGCAACGCATGAATGTGCAGAGATTTTATGTGTATAACAACAGAGGCCATTTCTGATATCTGCCATGATCTGGTTGTGTACTCTTTGTGATTTTGTGGGCTATGAACTTATCAATTGTGCCGCATGTCTGAACACACATGGGAAGATTTATGGAAGGACTTTGTGTCTTTTGCTGAACTAGACACACAATCTGTGACAGGCTCTCAAATAACCTCCTTCTATAACAATCCAGAGACAAATGACAGAAAGTAATGTAACGTGTCTGGAATACAGAAGAGTCGCTTCTATGGAAACGATAGAACAGACCGCTGCATAGGAAACAACAATTGCTCCATTGTAGTTCCGACGGTAGTCTCCGTAGTTACAACAAAAGGGTTCGTTGCGTACCAGCGGCCGAGGCTATAAATAGCCCAGCTTGGACGAGAAGTCTTCAGTCTAGGAACATCCGTCGTCGAAGAAGAAAGTCTAGGAACATCCGTCGTCGAAGACAGTCAGTCTCGGATCGTCCATCGGAGAAGAATTCCAGTGTCTCGCTGGAATATTGTGAGCAGTCATTGTAGCACTGCAAGTGTAAATGTTTGTAAAGCGTGTGTAATACGAGCGAACGGAATAAAGTCGCTATATTAGAAGACGGCGTGAACTTATTTGTAGCGTGACATACAAAACACGCTACACTGGTGTCAGAAGTTTTACGAACCTACACACGCCACACACTGATTGTTGTGCATCGAGTATTTTACGGCTACAACATGGACATGGAAAAGATGATGGAAATGTTGGCAAGAATTGACGCCAACGTGAAATCTAACCAAGTAAAAGCAGAGGCCTACCAGGCCAAGGCGTCGGCCGATAGGAAGGCCGACAAGGAAGAAATGGAGGCAAACGAGGCCAAGGCGGAAGCCAGACACAGAGAGCTGATGGCCGATTGGAGACCCACCCACGAGAAGATTGAGCCCCACCCAGAAGCGATGCAGTCCGTACTGGAGCATCGAGAGGTCCCCGCGGAAGACGCCACGAGAATACCGGTCGGAGAACCGAAGAAACGGCGTACGGACCAAGGACTGGCCGCGGAGCGCCGCCGCCAGAAAGCGAAGGGTTTGACCCCAGAAGGAATTGGCCGTCGGCCACAGAACGACATCCCGCCGCGCGACAGTGGCACGACGTTGGAGAAATGACTCCAAGAAGGAAACTCCCAAGGGAACCTTCGGATGCCAACGGAAGAAATTGGCCGTCGCCCGAGAGACAAGACGCCGAGAGAAAGCGGCACGGAGAACGCCAATAAACAATAGGATGTCCCTCCGTGCAAAAGTAGCACGACGTAGGGGACACATCATGGGGACCAACCCAACTTGGAACAACGTTGCAAGGGGAGCCCCTAAATGGCGAAGACTTCAGCGGCCGCACCCAAGGAACGAGAGGACAGCCAGCCGGACACTCGGGAAAATCATCGGATTAAAACTTGTGAAGTTACCAGCGGGACTTCCCAGCGAGTTACCGAAAACTAGACACTGGACACTGTGGAGGGGTCGACCCCCTCCGAAAAGGAAAAAGGGAAACGGCCCTTATGGGAGGAACCGGTAACTTGGAAGTACCGGCCTCCCCAACGAGGATGAATGGAAAACGAGTGAATGTTAAACAAGGCGACCGACAAATTGTGGACCACGAGAGTGCTCGGGACGAGCACAACTGAAGAGAGGGGCGGATGCGGTAAGATGAACAGCGCAATAAGACGCGCAGAAGACACCAAGGCCGAATACAGAAGTTGCAAGCTGAACACCTCGAAGCGAAACCGAAGGAGAACCTTTAGGCTGTTCGGGGACGAACAACCTTTAGAAGGGAGCAATGTAACGTGTCTGGAATACAGAAGAGTCGCTTCTATGGAAACGATAGAACAGACCGTTGCATAGGACACAACAATTGCTCCATTGTAGTTCTGACGGTAGTCTCCGTAGTTACAACAAAAGGGTTCGTTGCGTACCAGCGGCCGAGGCTATAAATAGCCCAGCTTGGACGAGAAGTCTTCAGTCTAGGAACATCCGTCGTCGAAGAAGAAAGTCTAGGAACATCCGTCGTCGAAGACAGTCAGTCTCGGATTGTCCATCGGAGAAGAATTCCAGTGTCTCGCTGGAATATTGTGAGCAGTCATTGTAGCACTGCAAGTGTAAATGTTTGTAAAGCGTGTGTAATACGAGCGAACGGAATAAAGTCGCTATATTAGAAGACGGCGTGAACTTATTTGTAGCGTGACATACAAAACACGCTACAGTATTAACCCAGGAATAAGTTTGGTGGAGTTTGGCAGAACACTCAGTAAGGTTGTACATGGGGTTAACCCTTGCCACTCTATACTATATGCAGAACACTCCTTCCAATATATTCATTGTTCTACAAATTTTCCAACTTTCATAGCATTCTATACATATGAATGATGTTGAGATATTCACATTTTGATGAACAACAATAGAAGAAGTGAGGTACTTTGAGAAGTATTTAATTTTGCTGTTAGCAGTAATACATGTTACACATTCATTCAAACTTTAAAAAGAAAAACATTCTGCTCAGAACTCAGTACTTTCCTGTAGCAGAATTATACCTCCTGGTATAAAAGTACAGGCAGCTGAAGAAAATGAGAGTCATAACATGAAAACTTTATCGCAGTTTGAATAACATGGCTACAGAGATGGATCCTGTACTATTCTGATGTTAATTTCTCTGTCTTGTAGTTGTCAGAGAAGGAAGAAAGACTAAATAACAAGTTGTAAATGTTGGGGTACAGAAGAGACCTTAATCAGTAACACCACCACACAAAGTTAAGCCTTCCACTGTAAATTTAAGTCCAATGAAATCTTTCAGTGCAGCATTCATTTTTATAAATAAGACATTCCATTGCTTGTAAGGTCACAATATCTACAGAACACTCGTAACAACTTATAAACTTAAGGCCTGTTAAACATCATTTTTTAAATGATGAAATGGTACAGGTGCTACAGGTTTTTATGAATTATGTTCATAGTACCACTTGGTTTTCCAGCAATTGCTACATCTTTTGCATCTGATTTCCTAATGGTAAACCATCGTGATGCAGTATTTGGTGGCGCTGCACATAATCCTGCAATGAAAATTAAGTTCTTATTGGAGTAAATATATTGGGCCGAAATATGCCTTATCGATTGGGACATATGTGGCTAATAACATTAAGTTGGTGTTTATTTTTCCATCTTCGAAGTATGGCTCACTAAGCGTCGGGCGACAATCGTATGAGATGTGGCGGGGATTGCGTTGCCTAATATAGACTCACTCAGCCAGAATATATCTATGTTCATTACATTTGGATGCCCTCTAACCTGGAAATCGAAGGGCTCCATGTTAAAGAGAAATATTTACTTTACCGCCTCCGAAGCATGCAACTGTATACTGTATACGTGGGCGACGTAAATTATGGAATGAAAAAAAACATAACTTTAAATTTAGGAGATACAATGTATCATACTTGGGCAAGTTAACCTCACATCATACCATACCTTTTCTTCAATACATGGTACAATTACAGATGTATACTTCCTGCTTAGCCAACGAAAAAATGCGGGGACACCCATTTTTTATTGTCAAAGATGTTTAGCATGTGAATTCTAAACGTCTATTTCACAATACTGCACATTTATTTAAAAATTATAACATTCACTCACAACACTTTCACTAATCACCAGCCATCTAATAACAAACGTTATTGGTTAACAACGGTCCACTCATGACGTCACAAAAGCTTTAATTCCTCCATCTATACTCCACTGTGATACGATTCCTGCAAATTGGCCGTAGCCACTGCCGAATGCTCTGTCGGTAAGAAGGCGAACTACCATAGCACTGAAGGGTTCTGGCGGTGGTGTATAACACGGAATTACTGAGTTTTTGGACTTTCCACATCGTCCGGTATTCTAGAGAATAGATAATAAGACGTTCCGGAAACTGGATCTGCTTCCGTCCTTAGGTGAATGAGGGAGAAGACACCTACTCAGTTGGGCCCCTAACAAACAGCTAATCTCAATCACTGGACAAACAGTGTCAGATTTTACACAGCTCTCACTGGGAATGTAAACAATGAGTCGTTGTTTACATTCCCTACAGAACGGACAGTACTTTGTAAGATGAGGCACCGACTAAATAATTAACATTAATATTACTACATCTACAACACGAGCCTCCAAAACAGTTTATTATATACACACNCCAGGACGATGGATAAAGTCCAAAAACCCAATACACTATATCAATGTGTTATACACCATCGTCAGAATCCTATAGTAACTAGTTTATTGTATATACACAAAATATAGAATACTTCAATTTGTCCGTGGGAACACATCAAAATCACAAAAACCAACGACTGACTCGATGATATTCGATATCACTCGAAGAATTTTTATTCTTGTTTTATAAAATCTAATTTATTGTATTTTACGCCAAGTATTTTAATATAATTAATATTATTGTATTCAATTTTATTAGTACTGCAGTTCAGTGGTGTATATATGTTAGCCATGTATTTGCCTGATGATGGCTTTTAATAGCCGAAACATGTAGCAGAGCCAAACTAGGCACTGACCTTAATATAGTTGTGTTGTGGGGGTTTTAATAAAGAAATTGTGTAAAGTTATTACTTTTGATTCCTTCAAAGTATATGGAGAATGAGAAAGCCGAAGACAGTGATTGAATGGATGAGTTAGGTGAAACAATGGTCGCCTTGGAAGGTGCCTGAGGCATTCATTTGAGATGCCATCAATTCCGCAGGCCTTTCTCAGTTTCGAGGAACTCATTAATTTCTGTACGTCACATGGTCTTATCCTTGGAGGGGGGGGGGTTGTCTATGGTTTCGAGCAGAGATTGAACTCTAGCCTCCACGAGCCGTTCATGGTTATCGTCGCACAGATCGGGCGGCGTGAACTGAATTTCCAGTAAGCAATTGCGTTTGATTTTTCGAAAGGGTGAAATTTAAGGGCTAAAGCACCATGAATAGCAGTTGGTGCCCTTGGTCCATCCCTCTTTAAAGAGGAATTTCACAATGGGCCATATATCCTGAGGTATGGCTTCAGCGTTACCTATCTTTCTTTCCCACCGTATAAGTGACCTTTTTTTCGGGTGATTCACCTGATTGATTTTGTGACCAAATTTACTGCCGCTTTACATGCTGGATCCCTGGTTTCTTGCCACAATTTTCGTAGCATCTGCTTATGTTCTAACAAGAGAACTAGACCAGGAAGATCGTTGTTTATGTCCGGAAGCGTAACTTTACGTGTCGACAACCTATATGCCGATGCAATAGAGGCTATAAAGTTGCGCGCCGCTTTATCGGCTTCTACCCCCGATTTAGTTTATATTTTAGGTGATATTCACTCAGAGGCGAGGCTTTGAAACCGCTCCCAAGCTGTGAATTTTTCAATAGGTTCCGAAAGATTCCTGTATTTAACATGATCCAGTATGTGGAATACTACTGGTAGGTGATCTGAATCCAAAATATCGGAGACGATGACATCTCACAGAGTAACGTATGCGCTTATTCAGTCATATATATGGCAATCATTTAAGGACTTCAGTTTCGCGATGCGGAAAACAAACTTTTGAGACACCAGAAAAAAAGCAAGTGAAGTTACCAAAAATGACGGACACTGAGGAACAATATATGCTTGTTATTTATAAAAGTTGTTTTTCATTCGTACATACGTATTTTGGTGGGAAGAGAACTGAGTTAATATTAACATTTTGCTCATTGAGATTGGAAACGTGCAACGTTTCCTTCTTAAATATCAATCGGTATGAGAGAATACTTAATAATATTAGGAACTTTAATTCTTATCTGTTTCGTCATTATAATGCATAATGTATTTGTATTGGAAAGCATCCGAGCAATCATTTATAGTAGGAGTTTAAGAATTCATACTATCAGCAATGAAGGTTCGTTTTGTAATGTAGTTCAGAAATCGGTCTTATATGAGAGAAAGAAGCAAGTTAAATGTTCACTGAAAAAAAAGGCTTTACCCTAAAACGCTTCGTTATTCCTTAGAAGAGTCGTTTACAACCTTAAAGGTGCGGCCACACAAAGCGCTACGCTATGTTC